AAGTGCCTACGCAGATCCGGCGGATACTATCCCTTTACCCGTTAAAGCCCGGAGAGGCCCTAGCTATTAATTTTCACGATCTAGAAGAGGCGGAGTAATTAGTGGGCGGACTATATAAGTTTATTATATTCGTTATAAACGTGTATATAGGTTATACGTGGGATTACTACCTATAGAAGAGAGACTAAGGCTTTATCCTACACGCTCTAAAGGATGTTTTTGCCCTGCTTAAGACCTAATTCGATGTTAGGCCACGCGTTCTACGGGCCGATTCTAAGATATTTTAGCACCTAGAAGTTATTACTTTCCTCGCTGCTAAGGGGGTAGAAGGCTAGCCGTTAGTATTATATTTATAGGATTAGAACGGCGTTATAGAATGGATTAGAGGTATCGTTAAGAGAAGGGCGAGGGCTATAAGGATTAGAGCTAATCTGCCTATATCTATCTAGTCTAAGATCTTTAAGACTATTATATATCTGTATAATAGAACGCTACGATATATTAACGACTGGCGAACGCTATACGAAGGCCTACGCGGCCGTTAACCTAACCTTACGTACCTGCGAGTGTACGGCTATAAAGCCTTTATAAAAACGCGCGATACCTAAGCTAAAAGAAATTACCTATAAAGGCTGGAACCGAAGGTATAGATCGGTTATTATATCGGATACTAATCCTCGAATAGCTTCCGTATTTAGCTGCTATACCTAACGGATATTATCACTATAAAAGACGTAGTCTTTAACGAAGATAAGATATTTAATAGCAGGATTAAAACGCTATAAGCCACGGCTTCCGCCGAGGAAATCGGGGAACGCCTATAATCTATCCGTATCACCTAATCTAATAAGACCGCGAATAGGCTGCTATTAAGGGGTATAGCTGTAAGCGTATTAGATCTTAAGTCGGAAGACTCTAACGCCACCGCTATTACTACGGGTAAAGGCGACGCCACCGCTATTACTACGGACAAAGGCGAGGCCGTCGCTATTACTACGAGAGAGGCTACTACTATTACTATAGACTATACTGCTATTACTACGGATACTACTATTACTATAGAAGAAAACTATACCACCGCTATTACTACGGGTAAAGGCGACGCTACCGCTATTACTACGGATAAAGGCGAGGCCGTCGTTATTACTACGAGAGAGGCTACTACTATTACTATAGATAAGGTTTTGAATCTATAGCCTAATAACTAGGCTATAGATTTAGAACCTCGTAACTCTAACGCTACCGCTATTACTACGGGAGAGGCCACTGCTATTACTACGGACACTTCACGGTTCACCACTACGAGGTTTAAACCGTTTCCCACGCCTTTAATATCCCCGGAAAATCCCGCGCGCGCGTTCCTTATAGCGTTAGTAGTGGTTAGGGGCGCTAAGGTAGAAGAACACGATAACCACTAACGGATAGCTATAGGTGCCCTTAGGGGGTGCCTGTCGGCTATACTCCCATCGGCCGCGCGCCTATTACCCGCGCGCCTATCCATCGCGAGAACTATCGTAAGTCTATACACGACTAAGAAGGTCCAGAACGATAACGCCTAGAAGGCGTTCTTTAACGCTGGCAGGACTTATAACCCTATACGCGCGAGGAAGTAAGCTATTAACGATAGCGATATCGGTGCTATAGATTCTACTCCTTCTAATACCTCTTAGCCGCTATCGTATATAACCCGCGAGGATCTCCCGCCTCTACTAAAGCACCACCGCGATAGACGCCTTTACCCGTTACGGGAGCGGTAGTTATAGGCCGAGGGGGAATACCTTAAGGGGTATTAATAGATAGGCTACTAGTAGGAGATAGGTAGTGATTAGGCTAATAAGTAATAAGTCCTCGCCTATAAATAGGTATATATCTATAAATTTAATAAGGAGGGCACCCTCCTTAAGTATAAGGCACGCCTTATAGTCCGAGGGGATTAATAAAAACGGTTAGAGACTAAAGATAACTACGCCGTAACGCTAGCCTCGCGGTCCTTCTATATGCTAATAGCGATCGCCGCCCGATTTAACCTGGAGATAAGGTAGTTCGATACCATTAACGCGTTCGTTAATGCTAGCCTTAAGGAAGAGGTGTTTATAAAGATATCGTAAGGCTACGAAGTATTAGGTAAGGTCCTGCTACTATGGAAAGCCCTCTTCGGTTTAAGGGTATCGCCACTACTATAGTAAGAGGAATTTAGCGGCACGCTATAAAGGATAGGCTTTATAGCCGTCCCTAATAACCCCTATATTATAATCCGTGACGGTTTAATCCTATTCTTCTACGTTAACGATATCGGACTTATATACTATAGAGACCGTAAGACGGACGCTGACGACCTCGAGGCTGCCCTTAAGCGAAGCTATAGGTTATTAGGAGGCGAAGAAATCCGTTAGTTCCTGGGAATTAAGGTCCTAAGGGATAGAGCCACCCGTAGGTTATAGCTATTATAATCCTCCTACGTGGAGAAGATCGCGGTTAAATACTACGCAGATATACTCTACCGAAAACCACTAAAGGTCCTATTATCTACGGAGCCGGTGATGCCCCGAGACGGTACCCGCGCGTTGATTCCCGAGGTCCGTTAGTATTAGGGAATAATCGGTTTTATCCTATACGCCGTTATCGTGATAAGACCTAATATCGCATTCGCCTACTTAAAACTTTCCTAATATAACGTTAACCCCTCCTCTGACCACCTTAAGAGGGCTTAATAGGTGCTGCTATTTCTATACTATATAAGATACTACTGCTTAGAATTCGGTGGGGATAGACTCTTCCTGATAGTAAGCGACGCGTCCTTTAGGGATAATCCAGACCGTAAGAGCTCGTAAGGATATACTATAAAGCTTTTCGGCGGCACCGTTAACTAGAAGGCGGGTAAATAACTGACGGTCACGATGTCGTTAATAGAGTCGGAACTACTCGCTCTTACCGAGGCAGCTAAGGAGACGCTGTTTGTTAGCCGGATATTAAGGGATTTAGAGCTTCGGCTGGATTAATAATAGCTATAACTACACTACGATAATTAATAGACTATTAACCTCGTTAATAAGAAAGCATAACGCCTGCGAATAAGGCTACGGCACGTCGATATTTATAACTAGTGGGCGCGTTAGTTAGTATAGCAGGGCCTTTTTAAGGTTATGTACGTTAATACGAAGGAGATAATCGCGGACGGTTTAACAAAGGCACTACCGGAGGTAGGAATTAAAAGACTATAGTAATAGCTTAATTTAACGGATTAAAAGGACCGTATCGAGTAGTCTAAACGACTACACGAAGAGATTAAACGCGCTAAAGCTATGGCCGTAGTAATGACGAAGGCCCCTGAGGGCGTAGCAGATCCGATAGATATGGATCCGATTAAGCAGATCCGACTAATCAGGATCGAGGAACTAATTAAGATAGAATTAAATTAAACGGTTAAACAGGGCGGATTTAAATCCCTTTTACGAGGGCGTTTTCCCCTAATTATTGATTTTACGATGGAAAAGTTAAGAGCGTTTGGTTTAAACCGAAGCCTCTGATTAGTTAGTTAACCTGGGAAGACCCACCTTAACTAAGGGGGTGTATCGTATAGGCAGGACCACGATATAGTCTATAGAAGATCTAGGGGGGATCCACTCTATAACTAAGGGCTCCAGATATCAGGGACTTCGGGCATTAGGATATAATAAGGGTGGATACCGGAAAAGACCGGATAGGATCTAAATGATATAGTACCTATAATAGAGTCTTCACCACCCAAATTAAGGGCATAAGAGACTCTCCTAGATATAACTTAAGATAATACACATACACGAGATTTCTGCTCTACTAAGTTAATCATTGAAGTGCCTATTTGACGTGCGATAACCGTAAGACCAGGTACAGCTCGTAAGGGTACACGACCCTACTATTCGGCGGTCCTATAGACTAGAAAGAAAATAAGCAAATAAGCGTCGTAACCTCTAATACTAAGGCTAAGCTTACGGCACTTTCTACTACTACTAGGCAGTATATCGCGATAATGCGTTTAATAAAGGACCTAACGTTAACCTTTAAGGAGGAACCACTAATAGTATACTACGATAATTAATAGACTAAGTAGCTACTAGAATCCCCTAGGCCGTAGGTTACCTCGAAATTAAAGTATCTTAATATCCACGCCCTTTAGATCCGATAAACCGTTTAAAAAGGGACCGTCTCGATTAATTAGATCGCTACCCACGATATAGTTAGCGATAGCCTTATAAAGGTACTGCCCCCGTAGAAATATAGGGCGTTTATATATCTATTAGGGATAGAGGTCCTAAGCCACGGGGTCTAAGGCAATTTATAAGAGGCGCGGTGCTGAGTTTATAATCTATAGCCTAGATTAACCGTAGTTTTAGTGCCCTTTAGATTATTATTTAGGCACCCGTTTTTAATGTGGTTTTAAGATTAATTTAACCACCTATTTTTACACGTTTTTAACGTTTTTAGGCATAAAAGGAGCGCGTTTTTTAATAGGCCGTTCTTCAACCGTTAGATTAATATCTAGGCCACTATTTTACCCTAGATTTACGGCTTTAAATTAAACAGAACAGTCAGGATCAATCCTGTAGTTCTGGGGGGGTGTGTTAGATACTATAGCCACCTTATCGGGGTGTGATAAACCATATAGTGTTAGACGTGTAGAGTACCTCGGTCCTATATATCCACCCTTATTTCCCCTGCTTTTTCCGTATAGTTAAATATTCCCGTGAAGAATCACAAACTTCACTTAGATGAATACACACATAATTCCGCGTACCTTATTTGTGTTCTGACAGTTGTACTGCTTGTGGTACCCGGATTACGGGACCCGAAACGTGGGAGGTTGGCGGCTTCGCTGCTGTCACAAGCTGAAAATTCGGGACAGGGTGTGGGCCCAAAGAGAGTGTATTGATTCAACGTGCCTATCTTATTATGCGTACCTTATCGTTTATCTCCTAGGAAGCTTTGGCATATTTCTCCTGAAGTGAGATGTCTGAGGCCACATGACATGTATTGTGGACATCGCCTCCTTTAAGCTAATGATCACCCCACTGTTGCTACCCCTGTTTTCTTTGGGTACCCTTGGTCATGAACCGCTTTTCCGCAAGATTCCTGTTCCTCCATCTTGGCAATGCAAATCCCTTGGATACCTTACTGTGGCCTTCTCCCTTTTCAAGTCTCCACACCACAATGCCTCGCCCTCCATAGAGGTCCCGATCAGACGCTTCATCTTCCGCCTCTTTGAACCCATCCTGACGGATCATATAGTACCGATAGTTGGTCTCTGTGCGGATACAAGCTGTCGTATACTGCTCGGTCATACCTCGATATCCCACCAACACTCTCCTCTCCTCGTCCTTTCCTCTATTTCTTCCTTTTAGAGCCTAAGCACCAGTCGACGACAACGACGACGACGGCCACGACGACGACAAGAGCACCGCCGCCGATCCCACGAGCTCATCGCGAGCTCCGATGACTTCCACGACATGAGTAACGAGCGCAGTTCGCCGGTAGTCCAGTCGAATGGCGACCTCTCTGGCACCCCGCTTCTATACAAACAAGACGAACGCGGAGCCGACCTCCCTGCTCGAGGCAAAGACACCATGGGCGACCTCGACCATGATACACCTCGAGGACGCCGCAGTCGCGTGGCAAGTCCCCTCATAGGCTCTCGCCCCCATACCTCCACGCACTCCTTCCACTCGCGTCGTTCCGCCATGCGCAGCCGCAGCCCGCAACAGGCGGCCTCGGCTACAGCTACGGCACGGAAGAAGTACACCCTGGCCACCTTCTTCCTCGTTGTCTGTCTCGTCGCCTTCGCCATCCAGACGGAACTGTCCGCCTATATTCAGCAGGATCTCGGTTGGAACAAGGCCTACTGTATGCTCTATCTCACCCATAGCGCCTGGACCCTTCTGTGGCCCGTCCAACTCCTCGTCCTGCGGCTCCAGAACTACAACGTCCCCTGGCACACCTTTTGGCGCCGACACCTCGCTCTCTTGCGCAGTACCTCCATCATGGTGCAGACCCAGGACCTCGACTGGACTCGCCCCGTGGCCGGCTCCGGCGCGCGTCCCTCTGCGATCCGCTACCTCGTCCGCACGACCGCCTTCATTGCGACGGCTTTGACCGTTGCCGGCTTCTCCTGGTACATCGCCGTGAACCTTACTACCCCTTCCGACCTGACGGCCATCTACAACTGCTCCGCTTTTTTCGCCTACGTCTTCTCCGTGCCCTTGCTCCGCGAGCCCCTTCGTCTCGATAAGTCCCTCGCCGTCGTTATAGCCATCGCTGGTGTCCTTATTGTGGCGTACGGAGCCCAGGACCAGTCTCTCGAGGGACCCAAGAACGGGGGTCAGCGGTTCGCGGGGAACATGATCATCGGCGCTGGGTCCGTCCTCTACGGCCTTTATGAGGTCCTTTACAAGCGCTTCGCTTGCCCACCTAGTGGCTGCTCTCCCATCCGTGGCGTCGTCTTCGCCAACACCTTCGGCGCCCTCCTCGGCCTCTTCACCCTTGTCGTTCTCTGGATCCCTCTGCCCCTTCTGCACTGGACCGGTATCGAGACGTTCCATCTACCCACCGGCCACACCGCCCGGATGCTCTTCCTCAGCGTCATCGCCAATGCCACCTTTGCCGGTTCCTTCCTCGTTCTCATTAGTCTCACGAGCCCAGTCCTCTCCAGCGTCGCCGCTCTTCTGAGCATCTTTATCGTTGCTGTCACGGACTGGGTGCTCACCGGCGAACCCCTGAGCGCCGCCGCGCTGCTAGGCGGCATCTTGATCATGATCGCTTTCCTCATGCTTGCGTGGAGCACGTGGCGCGAAATGGCCGACAGCCAGCGTCGCAAGGCTGTGGACTTGACTGACAGCGGAGATGATACCGATAGAGATTTTCGCGAGGACTAAACCGGCAATTATTTTAATGATCTACCTATCTATCTACCTATTTTGTATACCGACCTCTATGTTCTCCGGCCTTTGTTGGGCTGGCCATCTATACGAAGCAAGGGTCTGCATCATTGCAACGGCGTCGGGACGGATAACTATGCCTTCTCCGCCCCCCCTTATTATCTTTGTCCATCTTGTCATATTGATTGGCACCCCACTCGAAGGAATCGTACTGGATACGGGGAGCTTAGATATCATACCATCATATCCCCTGTGATATATATATATATACATATATCACAGGTGCTGTCGGCTATAGATCGGTCGGATCTTACATTCCCGCCAGGTACCCGGGACCAAGATAGGAGGCAGATGAACTGGGACAAACACGTGGAGCCTCGGACATTAGCGAGAAGGACCAAAATGGTTCGTCAGTATACCGCCATCATCCGGCGCAATTTATGGGATCCTGCGTTGTTGGAGTGGAAAGAAGTGGTGTTTAGAACGTCCATGTGGTACACTTAGGAGACGTGGAGCCAGCCGGACCTGGCTTTATTTAGTACGCGACACGATAGCACACCAACAGACAGGTATTCACACCTCTAGACATTCCTGTTCATTCCTACGATGACTCTGCAGATTGTAAACATGGCGAACCTCATTGCTTAAAAGGTCGACTCGCACAAAGATTCCATGACCCATGTATTTCCACCTACCTAGTATGGACCTGCTCTTTTTCCCTTTTCGCCAACCAATTGGCCGTGTACCTCGACCCTCTGCCGAAGAAGAGCTCTAGTCCTTGCAGCTCCAGTACCTTCAAGGCATCCCAGCGGCCGTGCCAATCCCTGTCATCCGGGCGGAGGAAGGCGTCGAGCAGGAGCGCGATGGAGGAGTCGAGGACGTAGCAGAGGTCAACGAGACCGGCATAGGCGATGACGGGCATGAGGCGGACGAGGAAGTGGTCGAGCACAGGTAAGGACCTGGCGAAGATCGCGGCGTGGTCACGGAGGGAGCAGGCACCGACGAGGGCGAGTTCGCGCACCGAAGAAGGGAGGAGGCCTTCGTGTCTGTGAGGTATTTTGGCTGCCCAACAGGGATTTCAAATCACCACGGCGACGGAGAAACTTCCCATGGACGAAACCTATGGAAGCACGTGTTGGTTCCCGACGAAGCCAACTCGCCGACGGAGGCGCGGTGTCGAGGTAGGAGAAGATTTGAACGAGGATTTCGAGAGGGAAGGAGGGCTCTATGGAAGTCTGATGCATTGAGACAGGAGATGTCGATATGTCCGGAGATTCCTTTATTTATTGGAGGGATCTGGACTGATTTTCAAAAGAGACGGAGTGTGGTATTTTAGCTGAGTACAGATACGCTGGACAATAAAATGAGGATGTGCCAAAACATGGCGGTTAGGTGGCGGCGCCTTGGAGGATACGGTGCTGGTTAAACATGAAGTAAGATAAGGTCTTCGTATAAGTGTGCAACTCGGCCTAGGTTGGCTGTCAGCACCGAATAGCGTCCGTCCGTGTGACAGGCCGATGCCATCTCTTCCAATATCACAACCTCTTCTTCATTGCGGCAACGGCAACCTCTCAAGACCACCTCACCAGAAACCGTCCAAGTCAAGACGAGGACTCGGACCGCCGCCTCTTCGATCCGCAAAAAGAAAAAGAAAAAAAGAAGAAGAAAAGGAGATGCACGATAACCGTATCACGATGACTCTATCGGTCAGGGCGGATAGGATCGCATAGCAGGGAAGCTGTTCAACGAGACACCGCGGGCCGATGCGCTACTTGCTCTCGTTCAACACGGAGCGGAATAGTGTGGTATTTGTAAGGTATGCTCCAAAGCTTCATGCATTGATTGGTTGCGGATTATTGCCGACTGTTTTGTACAAGTCTCGGAGCTCAAAGGTTTCGTGACCGCCTTCTGGTACTTCTCCAACGACGCGGGCTGGCTGGCCGCCGACAATGCTGAAGCTGGGAATGACCATATTGGGCGGAATAACGGCACCATCCAAGACGCGGACGTAATCTTTGATTATGACAAACTCGCCCACGACGACCCCGTGGCCGATATGGACGTTATTACCGATCGACGCCGCTTGCACAATCGTACCGTGGCCGACGAAGACGTGGTCGCCCATACGAAGGGGCATGTAGGTGAAGACACTGTTTTCCCCCATTGCCCCGGTGCCCAAGACGCGTCGAGATCATCAGCATTTGCGCTCTTGGAGTGAATTATCGGACGAGCAGAATGTTAAGCAGCTTGACTCAGCGTCAAGACGTCAGAATGGTGGCACGCACCCCTTATATACCCGGCCAGGTGGCCGAAGCAAGCTTCCCCGGCTGAGAAAGCAATACCGGCCGATGGCGACGGCCGTATTGTTGGCGGGCGCGCTGCCCCCAGTTGAGGAAGCAGACGCCGCCGTGCGAGTCAGGTCGCCGCGGATCATCACCTCGGGTTGGATGACGGTGCGACCTCCCAGTATGATGTTCTGTGTTCCCACAAGGTTCGCCTTTCGCGAGACCTTGTTCCCTGTGTCCTGTGCGGTAAGAGTGTATCAGTGGGAACTGATATGTGAAGGAACCCGGCAGGGAGATGCGATGGATGCATACGTACGGTCTCGATATACTCTCCTTTGGGGGGTCTCCGTGACATGGTGCGTACAATCCTAATCTCCTAGGAGCACGCAACGTGGTGGTTGTTGCGTGATACCATAGAGGTAGAGATAGAGACACTAACCTGACGCCTTTTACTTGTGTCGCGTTGGGTCAGTGGGGGAGGAGGGATGGATGCGCGAAGTCACGTGATATATTAGCCAGTGGTGTTCCCGGCATGTTCCCGATGCTCCCCAACTTTTCGAGCAGGGAGCACGCCGGTAGTACGGATATGGAGTATTAGGTAAGACTTCGGAACTCCCAACATCCCAGCATCCCAATATCCCAACCTCAGTACCGTATGAATTTGGGCCCCAATTGATCTCCCGATGGGTGGGGGCGCGGGGAAGCCGCGGGGAGCTACATCACTGTACTTCGTAACACAGGAGGGGCCATTTCGTCCATCATAGGGAATTACAGGGGCCAGTCCTCCACCCCCAAACCCTTGGGCAGAGGTCGAGGTGTCCTGTCCCCTCTTGCCCACTTGACTTTGACTTCCTACATGGAAAGAAATCTGGATGTTATGCTATGCTGTTGGATGCTATTGCGTAAGAGCCGGTCCGAGATCCAAGTATCCAATTCCTGTCCTCCTGCCCCGTCCGCCTACATAGTCCCTGCCGCCCCTGCCCAAGACACATCTTGCCCATCTCTTTACATACCTGCTTCCTCACGAACCAGCACTCTCGTATAAGCCTTACTCTCTCATCATACCGTGACCTTACACACAATGCCCCTTGATACCACATCCCTTCACACCTCCCGGGCCGCGGAGTTCACTCGCTTTCCTAGTAGGAGAAGCGTTGTTCACAGCTCCAAGGGTATCGTGTCATGCACCCAACCACTCGCCGCTCAATGTGGTCTTCAGATTCTTCAAGCCGGTGGCAATGCTGCTGTAAGTTGGACATCGAACTGTCCGAGACGATGATGGTTGGGCATGACACGCTGACGCCACTCTCCCGCAGGACGCTGCCGTCGCTGTCGGTCAGTTGGCAACATCTAGACAAAGAACCACGGAAGTAGGTTCTCGTAGCATCTAAGCAAGCACACTAACATCGCAGCAGCCGCGGGTCTGAACGTGACAGAGCCATGTTCAACAGGCATCGGAGGCGATATGTTCATCTTGTACTACGACGCGAAGACGGGGAAAGTATCTGCCATGAACGGTTCGGGGCGTTCTGGCGCCAAGTGCACGCTTGAGACCATCCGGAACGACCTTGGGCTGAGCGACGGTGCTGCTGGTAAAATTCCCTTCTCTAGCGTTCACGCCGTAACTGTCCCTGGGGCCGCAGCCGGTTGGTGCGACACCGTCGATCGCCTTGGCAGCAAGGCGCTCTCCCTGGAACAGATCCTCGCGCCGGCCATTGACCTCGCCGAGAAAGGCTTCCCCGTTTCGGAGCTTACCGGGACCTACGTAAGTTTTCTTTATCCTTGTGACCAGGAGTGGCGCCGTCGTCTTATCCAACACACACAGTCGAGGAAAGCTGATTTGTAATTCCGTCTCTAGTGGAACGAAGCCGAGCAACTTGTCCGCGACGCTTCGCCCAACTTTGCTGAAATGCTTAAGAAGGACCCCGCGGCCAAAGACGGCGTACGGGCGCCCAAGCCAGGCGAGATCATGAAGAACCCCACCTTGGCGCAAACTTTCCGCACCTTGACTTCCGAGGGCAAGGCCGGGTTTTACAAGGGCCGCATCGCCGAGGAGCTCGTCAAGGTGTGTAAGGATCTCGGCGGCCATCTCGAGCTCGACGATCTGGCCCACCACCTTGAGACGGGCAGTGAGCCGGTGGATCCCATCTCCCTCAAGCTGGACGCCGGCATCTTCGCCGACGAGGGAGTCGAGCTTTGGGAGCACCCCCCTAACGGACAGGGCATCGTGGCCCTTATGGCGCTCGGCATCCTCAAAGAGCTACGGGCCCAGGGCAGGATCCCGCAGTGGGGCCCCGACGATCACAACACGGCCCCTTACCTGCACGCCATCATCGAGGCCCTGCGCCTCGGCTTTACCGACGCCCGCTGGTACGTCACTGACCCCAACGTCGAGTCCGTGCCGGCCGCCGGTCTCACCTCCCGCGAGTACCTCGCCGAGCGCGCCAAACTCTTTGACCCGGCGCGCACTGCCGCGCATCTCGAGCACGGCCGGCCATCCTTCAGCCCCCCGGCCCTGCAAAGCAGCGATACGGTCTACTTCGCCGTTTCGGATGCCGAGGGCAACGCCGCCTCCTTCATCAACAGCAACTACGGAGGCTTCGGTACCTGCATTATCCCAAAGGGCTGTGGCTTCACCCTGCAGAACCGCGGCGCCAACTTCAGTCTCGACCCGGCGCACCCCAACCGGCTCGCGCCACGCAAGCGTCCCTACCACACCATCATCCCTGGTATGGTGACCAACCTACCGGACGGCTCGTTGCACAGCGCCTTCGGCGTCATGGGCGGCTTCATGCAGCCCCAGGGCCACGTCCAGGTCCTCCTCGGCCAGTTGATCGCCGGCCTGACCCCACAACAGACCCTCGACGCGCCGCGTATATGCATCGACTTTGACTGGACCGTCAACGTCGAAGAGGGCATGCCCGAGGCCACTGTCGAAGGTCTGCGGGCCTTGGGACACAAAGTCAAAGTCGTTACCGGCGCGGACCGAGGTCTGTTCGGTCGCGGCCAGGTCATCCGATATACGGTTGATCCCGTGGAGAAGACGGGTGTCTGGTCGGCGGGGAGCGATATGCGTGGCGATGGGGCCGCCTATCCTTTGTTGTAAAAAATGGGATAGAAAATTCCGGGAAAATTCCCGAGTGATTAATAATGTATAGATTGGCATGTTTTCGAGACCGTCGAAACGCGTTGCCGAGGGTTTGTAATGTGGTTTTTCGTGACACGATATCGTACATGTATGGGGGGGTTTTTTCTTTTTCTTTTTTTCTGCAGAAATCTCCGACTGGCAGTCCGTCTATGAGCGGAGAGCGTTCGGACCAAACGTCCCCATGTATCCTCTTCTTCTACTCCTGCTTGCCACCGTCGCCCTCGGCGAGAACTTTCTTTTCCTCCAACAACTTGGCCAGTTCTCCATTCTGGTGCATCGAGACGAGAATGTCGCACCCGCCTACGAACTCCTTGTCGACATATAGTTGCGGGATGGTCGGCCAATCCGAGAACTCCTTGATGCCTATCGTGACGAGTTTCGCCGACGTTGTCAGCACGGAACCGAAGATCACTTTTCTATCCATCCTTCCCCCTCCTGAGCGGGGGCCCCAATATGGCGACAATTTTTTTTTTTTTTTTTTTCAATAAACGAACCCCTCCCCAGTAGAACTCACCAGATCGCAACTCGGGGTCCTCCAACACGTTGAACGCCGCAAACTTGGCCGGGTCCACACCCTGCAGGCCCAGGACCTGGATGCTGGCGCGGGAGAACCCGCACTGTGGCGTCTCGGGCGTGCCCTTCATGAATAGCACTACGGGAGCTGACGCGACGGCCTTTTCGATGGCTTGCCGGGTTTGATCAGAGAGAAGTCGGAGCTGTGCAGGTTGGAAAAAGAATCGCGGCGCGCGGAGAGCGGATGGCCGAGCGGCCTGCCGGAAGGCATTCTGTTCGGGAGGGCGAAACGACGGCGTTAGCAGGCTGAGGGAATGATTGATGCGAGTCTCGATGAGCTTACGGATGAGATTATCGACCTTGCCCACATCTTCACGCTGGGTTGAATGATGTGAGGAGCACTGGTGTGTAATTATGAGGCAAACGGGCTCAGTTCAAGATTGTTGAAGCGAAGAACGACAAAAAATAGTACGAAGTACCTTCCCAGCATTCGGGTGATGTAATCGCTTCTCGGTAAACTCGGTGAGGCTGCATTTGTCATCCGTCTCACCAACTCACCAACTCTCCAACTGTTCAATTCTCAGTCAGGAGCCGATCCTGATGGCGCGCCTCTCCCAACATGAATCGCATGGTTCACTAATCATGACGCGACACAGGTAGCCTTTACTCCTGGCTTCACCATTTAAATCAAAATCCCATCGACTACGATTTGCTTGCCCATCTCAGAACGAAGTCCCTGGACCATGAACCACAGAGCCCCCTCCTCTCCAAGCGCTCCACCCTGCTTGTCTCTTAGCAAGGAACCGTGACTATACTAAACATAGCAGAAAGGCTCCCCTGCATTGTTGGTAAAGTCCTGAAACAAAGCCAGGTCGTCGAACTGCGTCGCCAGTGCCTCCACTTTAGCTTCATCCGGGTTCGTGCTAGCCAATTCGAGATCAATCATGAATGTGGCCCTCATGTCGTCCGGTGCCTCGCTCAGCCCCCCGTTCTTGAGATCCTGCAGGATCCTGCGGGCCTCACCGGCCGAAATGTTCCCGTCACGGAGCGCCATGGACAGGAGCCCACGGCCGACTGCTTCTGCCAGGCGGTACGAACGTCGGAGCGTCTGGTACCCGTACACGCAAACGAGGAAGTAAAAGTACCATTCTGAATCCTCCGTGTCGTGGAGCACCGCGTTGGCCAGGTACGTTAACCCCGTGTGCCAGAGGATGCTGTACGCCGAGGAAGCATATCTCAACCGGTAGACGAGAATGAGCCTTTTGAGTTGGTTCACTGACGCCGCAAACGTAGCGTCTGGAGAACTATCGCGGGAAGAGAACGTCTTAAGACGAGCCCCTTGCCCCCCTGGACGTTGGAGGAAGGGCCGGAAAATGTCCAGTATGGCGGCATGGAACCAGATGCTGCAAACCCAAGATGTCAGACACTTACCCCGAGATGAAAAACATCCCCGTGTGAGAGACTCACTGGAAAACCATCACATGGTGGGGGCTGGTGTCAGACTGAACTAGCGACTCTGGCAGGGTCTCTGCCCAGGCGATGAGCTCGCGGTACTTGTATTCTGCGAACTCTAAGCCAACGCGGCTACTCGGACAGCTGGGAGGTCTCGTCTGGTACCTGTAGTACTGCACAGTGAGGGCATGCATGATGCGCCAGAACCTGCACAATGCGGGGAACGTTTCGCCCATGTACCCCGGAAGTGTTGGGTCCGTACTCGTGGTCTGGTCTGCGGCATAGTCCAAGGCACCGCGGTTGGAAATATGGTTGGAAGTATGGTCTGACGCATGATTCGACGCGCGGTCCTCTTCCACCCACATTTCTTGAGAGAAGGCCGTGGCCTCGTCGCGCGCGCCCGGTATTGGGAGCACGGGTGGATACTCTGGATATACGAGACCCGGCTGCTGATAAAACAGGGCTGTGAGACTAAGAGATCCGTCAGAAGCTGTGAGGGCCTAGGTCAAAACGACAACACCAAGGACATCGGAGCTTACACGATCCAGTTGAAGATGCCCCAGGCCGCGTACGAGGCAGGGCGCCGGAGATGCTCTGGCATTTCTTCCATCGACTTCGTAGCGGCTTCTGGCTCGACGCCAAACAGGCACATCCGAACACCCATGCGATAGGCGGATGCAAAGCACCCCAAGACCAGGTGGTTTCTGCCACTGGCCTGATAGGCCAGACCCAAAAGCTGAGCGCCGGCAAGCGTGGGGAGGTCGTCGGACGAACTCTTCGCCTTCCAAAGCCTTTCTGTTTCGTCGCAGAACAAGTCCACGTACTGGCTCGCAGAAGAATCAATTGAGGAATACATTTGCTGCAAAAAGCTGTCAGACGACGGATCGGCAGAGCCGGCCGACGGAGGAAATGTCTCAAGGGAGCCGACTCACACTTCCCCAGGACATGATGGCATTTACGAGAAAGGACGAGCAGAAGGTCGACTGGCGATTGATTAAGTCCGCTACAAACATGGAAGGGTCGAAGGTCCCGATCAAAGGATGGTCAGTCTCCAGATAAAGGGAAATGATACGAGCGGCCAAGTGAGGGTCGATGGGCACGTCTGTCCAGAATGCGACATCGAGGTCCCGTAGGCGTTCGTCGCAGTATGTTGGCGGTGCTTGATCGGAGCCACTCGCAGGGGGAACCAAGTCGGACGTTGAGTTGCGTTCCTCATACCCATACCCTGCGGTGGAGGACGACGTGCGACGCAACGGGCACAACCGATCCAAACCGATCTCTTCTAATGAAGATGCAGCCCGGGGCTTCAACGCCGGGTAAGACACGGGATTCCGTGACATCAGTTCGTACTCCATGGTCCACTGCGCGGGGGAAGCTACGCTTTGGAGCGATTTGTCGAAGGTGCCATCTCGCCGCCATGGGACATCGGAGAGAACGCTTGACGGGTTACTGCGGAGACGGAGCAATCGCAGTACGCCAACAGCTTGGGCCTCGGGAAGTGTCTTTAGAAGCTCAACCAGTTCGAGGGTTTCAGCCATGGCATCGGCCGTCAGCTCTTTGTCGTGTTTGTCGACGTAGAGGCATTCTGTCGAACGCTTTTGACAAGCGCCGCAGATCGGCCGATTGCCATCGCACTGACATGGGGCATCGGGCAAGTCAGAATGATCTGGTCAGGAAACGGCTACGGTACGGTGGTGAAGCAGGAAAATAAGAAAGAGATAACATGGAAGAAATCTTTTTTTTTTTTTTTTTTTCGGTTTGACGGAATGGCATCAGAGAGAGGGACGTTCCGGTCATTGGCTTACCCGCGTTTTCCTGCCTCGACAGGCGTTGCACGCGAGGTGAGTGGTTATCCGCTTTCTCTTCCCGGATTCACCTGTCAAGGAGGAGGGCCTGAACGCTGATGGTGACTTTTCAGAAGTCGAGAGAACGCTCGATGCCGGCAGGATCTCGCGGAACCTCTTCGACATGGTAAGGAACGAGCCGGGCGGGTTGGATTTCGGAAGAAGAGACTATGAGGTGGATATGACGGTACCGTGATGCCGGGGTGATGCTATCTAGAGCGTGTAGCCGGCTGCGCAACTGAGACGAGGCGCGGTAGATTCGAGGTTCGTGGCCAATGAAGAAGGATAGGTTAGTTTAGGTAGGAGAGGGGTGGGTGACATATTCCCTTCATCACGGGGGGTTAGATATCGCCCTCGAAGGTACTGAGGTAGCTGTGGTCGATGACCGGCTGAACTCGCCACACCCTCTCTCCTCGCTTTACACTGTGGACGAAGGTTTGACTACCCTACGGCTTTGACTTCTGCACCTTGCCCCTATCTCTACGAAGTGATCTGAGCTGAGTGACGTTGACTATTGTTGACTATTGCCCTTTGATACAGTGTTAGTTTGCCCAGCCATACTCAAGCTGACTGTCCAATAGTGTATATTGTTCTGCCCTTGACGATGTGTTAGATCAAGAGATGTTTTGCAGCTGTTCAGACCTTGCCTCCTCCCTCCCGCTTGACAAAAGAAAGGAATGAGGGGCTGCCGTATAGGACAAGGACAAGCGAAGAGTTGCAACCATAATGTTTCTAGCTTTGTCCTTGTACTAAAATAGGACTCTTACAAGATCTAACCCGCCATCAAAAGAACTTTGAAAGGGAGTATCTCCAAGCCTCATTGCTTTGTGTGTCTCCGACATCCAATTTGGATCGTTCCTTTGCTGATGGGGGGTGGAGGTAAATAAGATACTTTGTTGCTTGTTAAGCTGAAAGATGTGAATAAGTCGGTCACATCAGAGCGGTTGATAAAATGTTGCCATATATCATCCAAGGCTAATAATAAAGTAGCTGGGAATTATTACTCCCACCACGTAGAGGCGTCTTTTAACTCACTTCTTCAGGGTCCCTAGGTAAGGTACAGGTACCTAGGTATGAATGACAGTATGGAGTACGAGATACGTCGTACGGAAACCTGTATTACAGATCAGTCACGTGACGCCATCGTCTCCTACCTTAGTAACAACCAACAACGGCTCCAGGTCCACTATTCCCCTCGGAAAATCGCCGCCATCCGGAAAACGCAGCCTTTTGAATCAACAGCACTCTCTTCCATCTCCCACCTACAACCACCGCCACCTCGACAACCCACACATCCTCATTCGCATCGACGCCCATTTCCCCCGCGCCTGCGACGTCCACAGATACGAGTATCCTCGCGTTTTATCTTTCTAGGCTCCCTCGTCTCGTAGCCTAGCTTCGCAACTCTCGATCGGCTTGGTCTTCGTGACCAGTCCTTCATCCATCCCCATTCAACCTCCAAAACCCACACACACCACGCGATTCGCCATCATGGCATTCCAAGTCAGTCCTAATACGCCGCTAGCGGAGGCCTTGAACAGCGCCATCCAGGCCAAACTCATGGAGGTTGGCTTTGCCCAAGCGTCCGATGCGAACGCCCTATCGGAATATATCATTCTCATGCTGGGCAACGGCAAAGGCCAGCAAGACATCGTCACAGAACTCTCGACGGACCTCCTCGGCCTGCCTGAAGACGACCCCACCACGATACAGTTTGTCTCATGGCTGTTTGAGCACGCCGAGTCTCTCAGCAGCCAGTTGAACAACGGCCAGTCTGAAGCTCAAGCAAATGGCGACGCGATGGACGGCAGCGCGCCCCAAGGTGCTGCCAACGACCATGATGCCGACACTGATATGATGACCTCTAATGATGTCTCCGATTTGAACGCGTATGTTTTATCGCCTGGCCTTCCCCCCCCCCGCCCCTGCAGCTTGCTAACTTTAGATAGTCCTACCGGACCGCGATCGATGCGAAGTGGTCCCGCTCGCGGCGGTCGGGAAAAGCGCCTGTTGTCCCAAATGTCCCGAGCCATGGATCGGACCGGCGACTCGGTGCTCCACCGCACGCGCGGAAACGACCGCATCAACTCCCATGCCCGAGGCCCTCCCACCGGTCCTCGTGGGCTTGGACGTGGTGGTCGTGGCATGAACACTCAGCGCGTCGCAAACATCCAGGCCGGCATGAACGCTGCCATGGGAGGTGGCATGAATGGCCGGCCTAACGGACCTCCGGGCATGGGCGCCATGGGCGGCGTGCCCGGCATGAACGGTAGCTGGGGCATGCCCGGCCAGCCGCCGGAAATGGACCTCATGGCCATGATGCAGCAGCAATCCCAGATGATGGCCCAGCTTCAACAGCAGCTCTTGAGCGGCAACAACGGTGGCTTTGGTCAGCACAGCAGGCCAAGCAAGTCCTTGTTCGACCGCGCGCAACAGCCGCATCGCAACAACCAGCGGCATCGGCAGCACCAGCCCAACCACAGCAATAACAACAGCCGATCTGAGTCGGCAGCAAACGAAGGAGGTGCCGACGGCGATGATGTAGACATGTCCTCAACAACAAAGCGTGAACCCCCGAACCCCGAAGAGACCGTGTGCAAATACAATCTTCGTTGCACCAACAGGGACTGCAAGTTCGCGCACCAATCTCCGGCGGCGCCGCCAGGCGCCCACATCGATATAAGCGACACGTGCAGTTTCGGGGCGGCCTGCAAGAACAGGAAATGCGTCGGCCGCCACCCTTCGCCGGCGACCAAGCGGGCCCACCAGAACGAGCAGGACTGCAAGTTCTTCCCCAACTGCCACAACCCGCAGTGCCCGTTCAAGCACCCGGACATGCCGCTCTGCCGGAACGGGGCTGGTTGCACCACGCCGGGGTGCAAGTTCACGCACGTCAAAGTCAAGTGCCGTTTCAACCCGTGCAAGAACCCCCACTGCGCTTACAACCACGAGGAGGGTCAGCAGGGTGTCTTCAAGGACAAGGTCTGGACGGCCGAGGGCGAGGGCGAAGGCGAAGGCGAACACATCAGCGAGCGCAAGTTTGTGAATGATGGGCAGGGGGAGGAGGAGGTAATCATTCCTCAAGAGGACAACGTTATGGGGCAGGAGGGACACGGTGCGCAGGGAATCACCACCTAGAAGGAGGGATCCTGTAGCCCGGTAATTTTTACCCTTCGACGGTATGCCGTCTGAAAGGCGCCATTCGTGATGGGGCAAGCGAGAAACAGACATGAGACGGAACAACAACAACAACAATCATATGACAGGACATATGTGAACGGCTGGGGGGACAATGGAAAAGAAATCCATGTACTAGTAACGTGCTTTGATTTGGAAGCAATGGCTGGCCGACGAGCCATGGCATTTAACGGCGTTTTGGGAGAGGACTAGTAGGAGGTCCATTTCCATTTTTCTTTGCCTCCTTTTATGTTTCCCTTATATCCTGCTGAGGTTCTATGGGAGGGGGAAAGACCCCGGGGTATATTATAGACGAGAATCTGGAGGTCGACGGGCATCATATGACCAAGATTGATGTCTCTTGATGCTTCGTTTGTCCCTGGAGGATGGATGGGGGTTAAGGAATATATACACGAGGGCATCTTGCCTCTTGTCGTGTTTGTCGACACGTCAAAAGCACTCACATCACGGGCCATGATATCGCTATAATCTTTCGACTCGATGTGAACATGATGCCGTATAAGAAAAGGTGAGGTTTGATATTCGCCGGGGGGGAGATATGCTCAGTAGAATGTGACAGGTGTTGCCAGGTGTTGATCCATAGTGGGGACCGTCCTCATAACAATAAACCTTCGAAATTGTGCTCGTGTTCCTGAAAAATTTCCTCTTCTCATCTCGCAATGCCTTGACCACGATACTCTCGAACTAGGCTTTCCATTCAAAAGGATCCTTCCGAAGCCATTGAGTCTCCTCATGGTCTTCAAACCCTTCCTGAAGATGCGTCCGAGCCCATGCTGAGCCTTCTCCGCCAGCTGACGCGACCATGTTCTCCCGCGCCAGCACCAGCGCCGCTCATGGCGCCAGGTCTGTCCATCTTGTCTCGAGGGGCTGTCGTCCTCTCGCCGCCGCCGCCTCGTCGCCAGTCCCTGGCGGCGTGTTTGCGAGTGTAAGTGTGACTGCCGAACGCTGTTACTCGACCGAAGTATCAGGCGGCAATGTCAAGAACATCGCCGTCATAGGCGGCGGTATCACCGGGTTGTCGACGGCGCACCACCTCGCCAAGTTTGCCCCCAAGGGAACTTCCATCACGCTCTACGAAGGGAGCGCCCGGCTAGGCGGGTGGTTGGATACTCAGAAAGTCGAGTTTACGCACGATGGCAAGAAGAAATCCATCCAGTTCGAGAGGGGGCCTCGCACCTTGCGGAGCTACGCCTCGGAGACGTGGAGGCTTGATGATTTGGTGATTTACGGTCTTGTATGTCTCCCCTTCCCCTTTCTCTGCTTTTTCCTACCCCTTATTGGAAACGTTCATTCCGCTAATGGCTCAATCAAGCTTCTCGACCTCGGTATTGAACCCTCGTTCCATCATGTCTCGGGCCGATACTTCTGCCTCGACGGCAAGATTGTTTCCCCGACCATGGCGAACCTCCTCGCCGACCAGAAACTGCGGAAGGTGTGGTTACCCGTTCTGAAGGCCTGGTTCCGGATGAAGCGGAAGCGTCTCGGCACTTTCGATGCCATGCAAAGCAAGCAGCCGCCCAAGGACATGTCCGTGGGCGAGTTCATACGTATGCTCGGCGGAAAGTCACCTCTCTTGGACCAGCTTGTCTCTGGAGGCCTGCACGGCATCTGGGGAGGAGACATCGACCGCCTATCAATGCCGATGGTACTGCCCAAGTTTTGGTATAATTTCTGGTACAAGGAGAGCCGGAGCAACATTCACCTGCCAGAATCCGAGACTCGCTTGCTTCATTACCTCCTCGCCGACGGGGCCGACGAGGTTCGAGCCCAGGAGATTGTGAGGTTGGTGAAGCAAAGCCGCAAGGGCAACTTGATGACCTTGCCTGGCGGCATGTCTTCGCTGCCCAAAGCTATCGCCGAGAATCTGGGACAGATGTCCGATGTCACCATCAACCTCGGCCAGCCTGTTACGGGCCTTGAATATGACGAGTCTAATGACCAAATCTTGGTATGTCACAGGTCTCCTTTTTTTTTGTCTTCGAAGTGTCCTGTCGCTGTTCTATTTTGGTCTCTCATGATGAAGTATTGCGGATGTAAACCTATCGTCAAAGTCGGAAAAGCGCAAACCCCATGTCGATATTTCCGTTGCCTTCCTTCTGATCCGAGATCTACACGACCAATCCGTTGCTTGAAACCTCATATGGGTAGTCTATGTGACTAACCATCTCTTCTGCAGCTCTCGACGTCCAAGACGACCTCTCCGATGCGATACGACAAGGTCATCTCCACAATTAACGCCAAGCACTTATACCAGATCGCCCCTGCGGAACTCCCATCCCTCGCAGGGTCCGAATCCGTCACCATCACAGCCGTGAACCTTTTCTACCCCAAGGAAGGGTTGAACCACCCTTATCGTGGGCTAGGCTACCTCGTCCCTCGCAATGACGAGTCGTACCACGACAAGAACGGCCTTCTCGGTGTCTTCTTCGACTCGGACGCCTTGCCCAACGCCGCCGCAGAACCCAAGGGCACCAAGCTCTTCGTCCTCCTTCGAGGTTCACACGCTGAAGCAGACGCCGTCGCCACTGCCCGGGCCGTCCTGCGCGACCACCTAGGTATCAACCCCTCCGAGCCATGTGTCGCTCTCGCCCGCGTCAACGCCGACTGCCTCCCCCAGCACAACGTGGGCCACCGCGACCGCATGGCTAAGGCGGACGCGGAGCTCGCTTCCGCCTTCCGGGGCCGTCTCGCCGTCGCAGGACCGTCATACGCTGGCGTCGGCATAGCCGGCTCCATCCGCGCCGGCTTTGACATCGCGTCCCATACTCTCGGTGCTCTCGAGGGCCATGTAGGATCTACAGGCCTTGCTGAGTTCGGGGAGCATGACGTGACCCCCGTTGACTACCTCTCGCGGGAGTCTCTGGCGTGGATTGGGAGAAGAGTCCGTCCCGAGACACCATTGTGGTGGCACCTCATTCGGTAGAGGAACAACGCCCTGCTCTCTTCGCACTTTTAAACCTCCACAAACGCAACATTGTGTATGATATCATGACAGTTCAGCCTGGGATGCCCTTTGTATTTATTTGGGAAAGATACCCGAGCAGATCATTGTCTATTGACAGAGAATCACTGTATATTAGAGACGATGCCCATTCTTATATGTAACCATATTACTAGTAACATAAGTCGAGGAAGCATGGCGCAAAGGGGGGCCAGCAGAGTTACACTCTGCGCTGTATTTGTACACACACTACTTAATGAAACTGGACAGCATTGTGACACTCGGTAGAACAGTAGGCTAGGGAAGTAAATACGCTCTGAAATTATCTCGTGAGTCGCGCTTTGAAGCCTGGGAATCGGCATAATCCAGATCGAAGCAAGAGCCAAAGTGAGATGAGGGTTTCCCATGAAAAGGCGCCCGTGGTATATCTATCAGTAGCAGCAGCCCTTGACCATGGCCTTAATAAAGGTCACCGACCCTTTCGTCATGTTCATCTTGCCCTGCCCCGTTTCTCTTCAGACGTTCTTGGTGTTTGGTATCAATATAGTTAAAAGTAGGAAAATAAAAATATACGTCGCCGAGAAAATACAGGGGAGGTCACCGAGAAGACAACCGGACCCATGCCCCGCCTCCTTTTCGAAGGCTCTAGACACCGAGGAAAAAAGAAAGAAGACAATACGAGCCGGGGGCTGGCTCGAAAGAAGAATAATGTCGCTAACGCCCCTCAATCCAAGACCATTACTGGCGCGTTTTTACCTCCGCTCTTGTTGGCGGCCACATGTTTCCGTCTCTGAAACAACTGGTTCTGGCGTGGTTGAGTTTGACTCGCGTTCGGGCTGGTCTGCTGCGTCGCCGTGCCGGACCCTTGGCTCGAAAACGTCTGGCTCACCTGCGTAGGGAGTCCGGTAGTCGACGCCCCATCGCCCGACGCAGCAGCACCGATCGCATGCGCCCTCACCGCGTCGTCCAGCGCCAGGAGCAGCTCCATCACGCCCGTCCCGAGTCGAGCCGCCGCACCGGTCGAGAGGCCCCGCCACCCCTCCCCACGCGAATCCCACACGGGCCGGAGAATCTTGCTCACCTCCTCGTCCGAAGCCGATGACGGGGCTGTGCTGCGGCGCCTAGACGAGACAAACCAAAACGTCTCGCCCTCGCGACCTTTGGTCCGCAGGTCGATGAAGATCTGGCGCGGTCCTTGCGAAGGGTCCGGGCCGTTCGTTATGGTATACCGAACCGAGTGCCAGTCGGCTGCCCTAGCAAAAATTTCCACTTGGCCCTGCCCGGACGATGTCACCTCTTCCCATCTGGTCTCCATGGCGTCAAAAGCGGAGAGGACCGGAAGAATGTCGGCGAGGAAAGGGATCATGACGACGATCCCGTTGGGGTTGTTGGCCATTCTCGTCAACAAGTCAAGGATACGTGTATGGGGATTACCATCCTCGAGAACCAGCCGAACGCGAGCGCCCCGAGCCATGTCCAGGATGGCCGTCCACTCTCTTGGTTCGCCGTCTTGCCCCGGCGCCACAACGTCTTTATAGGCGAACTTGATCCTGTGAAGACTTACGTCCTTGCATTTCACTGGAGTTCTAGCAAAGCGGATAGCATTGATGAACTTGACCAGCCTGTCGATGGATCGGATGTGACCGGCCAACGTCTGTAGAATGGGTTGCCCAGCCGATCCCCGCATGCGTATGAGGAACTGCCCGGCCCTTGGGTAGAAGAAGACGCTACGGTCGATTCGACCGCGGAGCTGTTGAAACTTCGACTTGTCCTTGACATGGAGTATCGCATCGACAGTCGCGCCCAGTCTGGTGGCATCTTCCAGGTCACGACGCACGCCCCTGAAGTGCATCTCAACCGTATCCGCAGCCCAGGGGAGAATGTTCGTCTCGCACGGTGTATCTGCGCCGTTGTTCATGCGCTTACTAATACGCCGCGGCGGGTCCAGAACGTCGGCTACGTTAAAGAGGATCACTGGAATTTTGATCTGCGCCGGTAAGGACTTCCTCTTGTCTTCGCTCGGGAGGTAACGAACCCCCATGTCGCGTGCGCCTTCAAGCTCAACCGCATGCGAGATTATTCCGGTAATGTAGACGGTCAGGGTGTCCCAGAATGCGTCATCTAGGCTTGGTTGCTCCTTGGAGAAGTTCAGGTTGATGCTTGTCCGGATCGATCCGACGGGTGCTGCCCGGTTTCTACTACGAGTCAGTTCAAATGCCACCAGGAAAAAGCAACATACACGCATATATGGCAGCCTCAAGTCACTTACACCCGGACCAACACCCATTCATCACCAGAGAGGCTCATCGAAAGCATGACGAACCAATCAGGGCCCAAACCTTGACGCTGAAAGAAAAGCGCATGATACCCATCGCGCGCTTTGATAAGCCGCTTGACATCCTCATTCCCGATAGGACTCTTGGCGAGGGTCCAACCGGCGCTCCGGCCACGACGGTTGATTTCATCCATAACGAAGCCCCACCGGATGTTTTCCAGAACGTTAACGCCATCCTTTGCAACGTCTTTGACGCCGTGGTTGAGTCGATTCTCGCCTTGAAGTGCATATCGGGTGTGGGGCTGAAGCGCAACCAGCCCGGTGACTGGCTCGATCATGAGAGTCACCTTGTGGCTACCACCCAGCTGCACTTCCAACGTCGATTCCAGGGGTTCTGTCGGGGACACCTTAAGGCGCATAAATGTCTCGTGCTTCACAAATCTCGGCGCAGTAATGAGCTTCTCGTGTATCGTCGAGAGGATATGCTCGACGTGATTCGCGATGGCGGATTTGAGCAACTCTTCGGCCGATATAACCTCCATGTTGAGTCGTAGTTCGATATCCGAGACTTCCTGGTTATCCCTGTACCAACGGGCCACGAGTCGACTGGGATATTTCGGGTCCAGTTCACCGTTCTTCTTTCGCTTGCCACTCTGGACAGCCACCATGACCCAGCTCTTGGGCGCATGGGGGGGTAAGCGATTTGTCCAGTATTGGAGGGCCAGGGCCCTGTTAAGTGGCTCGATCTTGAGATGGACGGCCCACGAGCTCCGAACAAGCTCGATGGCCTGTCGCTTCAGTTCGTTGACCTTGTGAGTGAGCACAAACTCATGGAGGAACTGATAGCACCCCTGCAAGCCATCCTTCCCCAAAATGTCGTTGACCTGGGCCTCTAGGTAGGTCATTAACCCATCAGACAACTTCTCGGATGATGGCGAGAAGTCGAAGCGGAAGTCGATGAACCAAAATTGCTTCTCGAAATCCTCGTCCGCTATTGTGAGGTCTACCTCGAACTCTCCCCTGACCTTGAAGGTCACCCGGCCGGATTCGATGGTGTAGTCCTTGAACTGGGGCGGGATCTTATCATAGTCTTCCAGATTGAGACGAAGCGAGAGCAGCGTGTTCAGTTCTTCAACCCATTTCAACTGTTCTTCTGGGGTCAGGGCTGGTGGTGGGATGTAACCGGGCTAGTAAACAAGTAGTGAGCAGCCAGGCATCTTTCTC